GAGGAGGCTGAGAAAGAGTTTGAACATTATCCCGGGCAGCTCAACAACAAGATCTCTTAACATTTTTGCGAATGAACCCAGGGAACCCAGGAACTGCAATAACCACATGGCTCTGGACAAAGAGAAACTTTAATCACTTAACATTACTATTTATTCTCTTTTGAATCCATTGCTACTGTGGTCCAATCAGATGTTGTCATGCTGAGTTTACTTTTAGATTAGGTCATCAGAAAACATCATGTAGCCAAGGGCCTCAGAGACAGAACAGAGCTGTGATTGTGGCCTGGGCTTTTGTCCATGCAAATGTAAGTGGTTGGTTTAGAGGAAGATGGTGGCTATACACTTCCTCTTGAACAAATGCTGAACACCTCAGAGCAGACGTTCACGTGAAACACCAGTTTCCTTTAATGAATTTTCAACATGCATCAGGGAATTATAAAAGATGCTTTATATATGTTTACAGACTGTGATTGCTGATGGAGTGAAGTACAAGAAGCCTTCTATCACAGTATGTGCATTTATGTGTATGCCCATGCAGGATTTGTGTGTGCTGTGTATGTTTCTGGAATGTCCTATAATCATGTTTGTAAAATATACAAATCTGCACTTTTAAAAACCGTCTTGGTGTCATTTAAATAATCTTCTCTGCCTACATTCAGATCTAAACAAACAAACAAACAAACAAAACTATAAAATGCAAAAAGGTTTGAACATGTTGCTGTTTCTGGGCATTTCTCAAAGCTGGATTCAAATGAAAGCCATTGACTTCAGTAAATTCTACTGAAAACTCCACAATGATACAGAACTGAGATTGAGAATGTTCTGGCTTTTATATTAAGAAAATCTGTACTTTTGCAGTCATACATGATAAATGAAGAGCAATTCCCAAAAGTCATTGATTCAGAATCAAACAGGCATTTAACAGACTGAGAGGATTTTCCACATGAATCCAGCTCACACCATAAACGCACTTCTGAATGTTTATAACCAATTAGTTATAGGTTACTCAATTTTTTTTTACATTTTCATTTTAACTAGTTGCATAATCTTAAATCACGGGTGCCCAATCCTGTTCCTGGAGATCTAGCTTCCTGCAAAGTTCAGCTCAAACATACCTGAACCAACTAATTAGGATCTGAAAGAACACTTGATAATTACGGACGGGTGTGTTTGATCAGGGTTGGAACTGAACTCTGAAGGTAGGTAGATCTCCAGGACCAGGATTGGGCACCCCTGTCTTAAATCTACAACTAACAACTAGAAAAATGGTTCATACCTGGGCTGCATTTCCCAAAAGCATCGTAAGCCGAAGTTTTACTTAAGCTTACGATGCTTTTGGGAAACGCAGCCCTGACCACTTCAGGCTCAGCTTTTTGATTTATAAAATTCTTCATCTATTTGGACTCTATCTTCCTTTGAATAGAAAAACACTAGTAAACCAGTCAGGTTCTTATATTGGTTTTATTAACATGAAAAAAGGTACAACTGGAAGGTTTAAGTGACAGGAAATGCAGTAGGAAAAAAAAATAAATAAAAAAATAAAAAAAAAACACACACACGATGCGACAAGACTTGAAAGAGGAAGAGACATGGAAAACATAACAGAATTGTTCATTTAAGCAAGCTCCTCTTCGCCCTCCTCCTCAAACTCTCCTTCCTCCTCAGCGGTGGCGTCCTGGTACTGCTGGTACTCGGACACCAGGTCGTTCATGTTGCTCTCAGCCTCGGTGAACTCCATCTCATCCATGCCCTCTCCGGTGTACCAATGCAGGAAAGCCTTGCGCCTGAACATGGCCGTGAACTGCTCCGAGATTCTCTTGAACAGCTCCTGGATGGCAGTGCTGTTGCCAATGAAGGTGGCGGCCATTTTGAGCCCACGAGGTGGAATGTCGCAGACGGCAGTCTTGACGTTGTTGGGGATCCATTCGACGAAATAGCTGCTGTTCTTGTTCTGAACGTTGAGCATCTGCTCATCCACCTCCTTCATGGACATGCGGCCACGGAAGACGGCGGCAACGGTCAGGTAGCGGCCGTGACGAGGGTCGCAGGCGGCCATCATGTTCTTGGCGTCGAACATCTGCTGGGTGAGTTCGGGAACGGTCAGTGCACGGTACTGCTGGCTGCCCCTGCTGGTCAGAGGAGCGAAGCCGGGCATGAAGAAGTGCAGACGAGGGAAGGGCACCATGTTCACCGCCAGTTTACGGAGATCTGCGTTCAACTGGCCGGGGAACCTCAAGCAGGTGGTGACTCCGCTCATGGTGGCAGAGACGAGGTGGTTGAGGTCACCGTATGTGGGTGTTGTGAGTTTGAGAGTGCGGAAGCAGATGTCGTAAAGGGCTTCGTTGTCAATGCAGTAGGTTTCGTCTGTGTTTTCCACCAACTGATGGACAGACAGTGTGGCGTTGTAGGGCTCGACCACAGTGTCTGAGACTTTAGGAGAGGGCACTACGCTGAAGGTGTTCATGATACGGTCAGGATACTCCTCACGGATTTTGCTAATGAGGAGGGTGCCCATACCGGACCCTGTGCCTCCACCTAAGGAGTGAGTGAGCTGGAAGCCCTGCAGACAGTCACAGCTCTCCGCCTCTTTCCGAACAACATCCAAAACAGAGTCAACCAGCTCAGCTCCTTCGGTGTAGTGGCCCTTAGCCCAGTTGTTTCCAGCACCACTCTGGCCTACCAACAAAAAAAAAAATGTTCGGGAGTTTAGTTACATCTAAGCAAAAGGGAACTAGATCCATATCAGGTCACAATCTGCCATTCAAATTTTGTTCCGAGCCAGTGCGGGATCAATCCCTTCCAAATCGAATATCCCAATAAACATTTGACAGTCAAACTTCGCTTTGGGGTGCATATTAAAACTTACCGAAAACAAAGTTATCTGGTCTGAAGATCTGACCAAATGGACCGGACCTCACGGAGTCCATTGTACCGGGCTCCAAATCCACCAGTACAGCACGTGGAACATACTTTCCACCTTAAAACAAAGAGCAGAATGTTAGGTCAAACCAAATGTTGTAATGTGCATATGCAAGTTGTCATGTGAAGTGACCTTACAAAAGGCATCGGATTTCTGCTCACCTGACGCTTCATTATAATAAACATTAATTCTGTCCAGCTGAAGGTCACTGTCGCCATGGTAACTGCCTGTTGGGTCAATTCCATGCTCGTCACTAATGACTTCCCAGAACTGGAACAAGAGGATTCAGAAGTAGGAACAAGAAAGTTTAGATTTAAAACGTTTTTGGACCTTGGACAAAATATTAAAATGGAACTAGGTTCAAAAAAGTTAAATAGAAGGGTATTTCTTAGAATTAAAAATAAATAAATAAATAAAAAGGCTAATCCAATATCGAATGACCAGCGTTTCCCGTTACTCGCGCTCCAGACTTGTAAAATGGAGTTCGCCAAGTCACCAGGGCCATTTTACATCACCCAGGAGCTTAAAGACACAGCGCAGACATAGCACCACCTATGTCACGAATATTAGCTTCGGTTATTGCTCAATGCTACGGAGTCATTCAAATAATTTCTCTGCATGGGGTCAGAACGGTATTTGCGTCATGATATTAGCGTTCCCGCACTTTTCCATGAGCTGAACCAGATACAACCGGCCACATTACGACACGCGATTCTTCCAATCGAATCGACTCGTTTGAACGGTTCGCGATTCGGTTGCGTCACCACTCCCTACAGTCGGGTGACAACTGTGGGGGAGCGAAAACTCGAGCAATTCGGCTCTACCAAATCATCAAAAAGAACCGATTCGCTTGCGAATCGGATATTACGCCGGTCCGGCGCAGCCAACACCCTAAAACTAACGCATTGTTTCACCATTACTTCATTCAAATCGCTCTGATTTCGTGAAATATTCGTCCTATAAAAAATAAATAAAAAAAAGCTAGTTTTCGTCAATGTTTAGCCGAGAACTCAAAAGACTTTATTTAAAAACTTGTTGCCTGTGAGATTAATCCAGAACCACATTTAGACCAGAGTAGGTTTTAATGGTGAAATTTAATAATGACAACCACAATCGAAATCAGCATAGTGTATAGCATATTTAAGAAAAACCGCTTAAACTAGAACAAATCGCTGCTCTAAACGCCAAGAATTAGTTATTTTTAACCCCCAAAAGCCCAATCGGTATTTAATGGAGTACGATTAAAAATATATATTTGTTCAGTTCTTACCTTAGCACCAATTTGGTTGCCGCACTGTCCAGCCTGTAAATGCACAATCTCCCTCATTGTTGATTATTTGCTTGCTTAACAACACAATGCAACTGAAACAAACCCCTTCTAACTCAAAACCCTCGACAATGAGATCGTAATATCAGACGTGCTCCTACTTATTCAGTCTGGAGAAATCGCCTACATTTCCTTCATTCTTATTGGTTGCTGTACGCCCTCTCCAGCATTCTCATTGGCTCTCTTGTGTGCTCATTGTTATGATTGGTTCGTACAGGCGCTGACATCACTAGAAAGGCGTTATAGCTATTGGCTGGAAGGCAGCGCGGTTATAACGGCTCTCGACATTCAAAACGCTTATCTAAAAAAATCAAACGTTTTTGTGAAATAGGAGGGGCTGCAAGCATATTTTCCAAAATGTAGTTGCTTGTAAACAATGAAATCAGGGCTGATGCCATTTTGACAGTTTAACCTTACCATTTACTCCTCATTTACCACGTTGACAAGGTAAAGATAGTTCTTTTATATGGCAGCAATAAAGAAATAAAAATCGCCAATAGGTTTAAAGCTTATCTATGAAGCTTGTGTAAATGTGTAAACAAAGATAACCATAGACAGTGCAGTCATTTAGTGTTGTGTATATGAGTGTCCTGAAAATTAATGTTTCCAAAAAGTGCTTTAAAGATTATACAAGCCATATATGCCCAGTCTTTATACCTAGAATTGTACATCCATCTCTCACAACCACATTTTCATTGAAAAAAAATGCATCAAGATGTATTAATAGACACAAGGAGAGTAGTCTTTGCATTTCCATATGATTTTTTAATGTCTTTAAAAGCTGATATTGCATCAACATGTATCCTTGACAACATAATGAACCTCAAGTTGTGTTTTAGCTCACTGTCATATGTTTCTGATCCCCTATTCTCTACCCAAGGACCATATAAAAATAATATGAAGTGTGCCAAGGTCACTGGGTCTTAATACAAATTGTTTACCAAAATAATTGTTTTCTGTTGCAGAGAGAAATAATAAAAAGACATGCATGATTGCCATGCAAGAAGATTTACAAAGAAACAAAAACAAGAAAGGAAAAAAATCCAGTCTTCTCTCGACATGTTTGGTGAACTCAACTGTTGTTTCATTCTGGGTCAACTCTATAATTTTTTCTTTGTCTATGTGGATTTTGTGTTAAGCAGCTGTCTTTCCTAAACAATTCCTCAGGTGTGTCTTTGTCCACGGTCATAGATCGTCCTGTTTGTTCAGTCCATGTTTTTCAATGTATCGTCTGCGGGTGGGGTGAATAGAAAATAAAGAATCAAGATTCTTACTCGTACTCAATTCAATAAATAAAAATGGAGTGCAACATACCTTTATTATACAAAAAACCTAGTGGATACTGGCATACAATGGATTTTAGGCACAAAGATTTTCAAGCTCAATGCCATTGTGTGCTAAACATTTCAGATATGTCTAAAATGCAACACATTTTAAGTATTATTTTAAGGATTTTAAAACAATTACCTTCTTGCATATTCGTAGAAGGCTTCTTTTCTTTCCTGTAGAGACATATGTCTGTCTATGGGTGTTCTCCCAAAAGATTTGGCAGCTGGCTGTTGATGAATACACAGACATATTTATTCAAATATCCTGTCAGACAAAAGGCTTTGACTACTATTTATAGGTAAATTCACTAATATAGGCCATGCGAGAAGGAGGCCATTGTGCTATTCATACATGATAAGGTCAAATCCAAAACACGGAGCTTGTTTCTTTGTGGGGCAATGAAGAATAGTGCAAATCTTGTGTAATAAATGGTTTTCGTTAATATGGGACAAGACACTTTGGTACTCTGACTAAAGTCTGTCTTGCTCCTGCATTTGCTTTGCTTTTTTTTTTTTTACAGGGTACAGGGTCAGCTGTACCTTCAAATTGGGTGTGGATTCTGTTACAGACGGAGTGGAAGAAGCTGCTTGTTTAGCTGGACCTGAAGGTGTGCCCACAGCTGCCTCCGAGGTGAACTGGTCAGTATTCTCCAGCAGGTTGGTTATGGTTGTGTCCACACAGTTGGTCTGCACTGTACAGAGACAATATCAAGGGGTTACTTAACCAAATCCATACTGGCTGAAACTGCATTGCTTAAACCCAAGGAACCAGCTTTGCATTAGTACGCATATGCGGAAGCCACTGAAGCGTATAATGGCACATAAGCTTTTTAAAGCAAATGAAGCTAGTCTGAATTAAAGGAATAGTTCATCCAAAAATGTTGCTGAATATTTACTCACCCTCAGGCCACCCAAGATGAAGATACGTTTGTTTCTTTATCAGAACAGATTAGGACAAATTTATAATTAATTCACTTGCTCACCAATTGATCCTCTGTAGTGATTGAGAGCCATCAGACGGTTTGAAGTTAAAAAATCTTAATGAAGAATTTGTTTCTTGCTTTTCTATTCACAAGATGCTAATTGATGGACTGGAGTCCTGTGGATTACTTGTGTATTATTGTGATGTATTTATAAGCTGGTTGGACTCTAATTCTGACGGCACCCATTCAATGCAGAGGATCCACTGGTGTTGAATGCTAAATCTCTCCAAAAAAATGCTAAATCTCTCCCAAAAAAAATCTAATCTCTCCAAATCTGTTCTGATGAAGAAACAAACTCTTCTACATCTTGCAGGGCTCAACAATAAGGATTTTTTGTAGTGGCCCAGTTGGGCCAGTGGTTAAAATTTTAATTTGCCCTTCCAACATTTTCACTGGCCCAACCACAAAAAAATACAATTGTTGTTGTAATCGTTGTTTTTTTACCCATGTTATCTTGTATTCTAATAAATAAGCTTATATGATACCAAATTTTTAAACACCAGTTATATTTGTACAATTCTCAATTTCAATTTCTACCCTAACAAATATAAAGTTCAAATATTATTAAAGACAAGTGAACAGTCAGTAAATAAGAACAAATTAATAAATTACATGCAACAGCACAAATAAATAAATAGAACAAAGATACAAATTAAACAATACTTTAGCTTTTTAGGTTTGTAGGTGTTCAGGAACAGAAACTGAATAATCAAATGTAAAAAACAAATTAAATATAGATTAATCATTGTTAAAGCTGCTTATTCAGTCAAGAGCAGTGAGTGATTTTTGGATTTACATTAAGGACACCGACAGCAGCAGGTCACTTTAAGAGACAATGCGTGGATCAAATATAATGATACACATCTGATTTTATTCTCAACAGTTAAAAGTTTACTTAAAGGTGCAATAGGTGATTGTCTTCAGAAACATTTTTTGTTATGCTGGTTGAAAGTCTCTTCACATCATGATAGCAATCATTAAGTTAAGTGATCTAAATGTATTTATATATTCTGTGGAAGGCATAGGACCAAGAAATGTTCGTCTAATCAAAACGCTCGGTCCAAGCATTTTAATTGGCTTTCCTACCTGCCTGTCAACGCAGGTAGCATTTTCCAAGATCTCCTACTGCACCTTTAAGACAAACTGTTTTCGAGGATACTCACCAAGATGGGTTTTTAGACTTTTGTATGTATTTGTCCATTCAAGTGCAAGACGACACAGAAAGAAACTCAATTTGGGTCTCATGCATTGCCTGAGATGAGGCTCTATGTGTGCACAAAAACACACTGACTGGAGTTGTTATTCGTGTCTTCTTGCACTTCCTCTTGCTTTAAAATCTCTCGAATGTTCAAATTGGCCAGATGTATTTGTCCGTTAAAGCAAGAAGTGAAAGAGAAACTCAATTCGGTGTTCGCACGTTGTCTGACACCGTGTCCTAACTACACACGACGCGACAAGATTGCAGCGACAAGCAATTTGGGTGTCCACACCAGACGCGACACGACAGAATCAATCAAATATCACAGCCAATCAAAAGCATGTGTGGGCGGGCTCTCTCTGGAAGCTCAGTGCTCTGGCAACGAAATGGATAAGTTTATAATCTAATTCATAATATTAAACCTTTTTAACATCATTAAATGTACATACTGAATGACTGATAACATCTTTGTCATGGAATACACTCAGTTCGCAGTGAGTTCACAGTTTTAACGTACATATTTGCTTTAATTTATTTTCAAGATCTGAGGTAAACCATCTGTTGTTGCTTTCAGTATGGCTATAAGGTCACGCAAAATGATATTTAAACTCATATTAGACACGTTTAACTTTGAATAAAGCACATAATCACCTGAGATTATCTATAGTTTGTATGTTGTTGTTCAAGCCGTGATGTCGCGGAAATAGAAACCGTTTCTAAATTAGAAATTTCGCGTGTCTCTGTCGCGGCTAGTTAGGACAAAAACTCTGATTAACATGGAAAAGATAGCTTTTATTGCGTGTCGCGACGCGTGTAGTTAGGACACGGTGTGAGACGCACCTCTCTGTTTGCGTACTTTACACACAGAACATAGCGCGAGAGTACTGAATGAATGTCCTTTGCGTCTTCTTGTGCTCAAATGCTATAAAATCGCGTGAATGTTTGAATTGGCAAGGCTTAAAAACACATGCAAATTATAATCATTCGTGAGGACGCAGCAGTGGCCTGATCGGGCCACTAGCTATGTTTCCATCCATGAAAAGTTAAGAATTGAACTTATGCGCTAAACTGGAATATTGCATAAAAAATGTGCGAATAAAGCACCATTTCCATCCAGTGAGTTGAACAGAACAAAATCATCACTTCCTAATTACAGTGGGGAAAATATTTATTTGATCCCCTGCTGATTTTGTAAGTTTGCCCACTTACAAAGAAATGAAGGGTCTGTAATTTTTGTGGTAGGTTTATTTTAACGATAGAGACAGAATATCAACCAAAAAAATCCAGAAAAAACACATTATATATAAGTTTGCAAGGTTTTTGAAATTAGATGTTCATTAGTCATTCAAAGATTTGTTTAAATGATATAAATGCATATTTTCTGAATGCTGACGGAAAACGAGAAAGTATTATAATGTTTGCCTTTCTATAACTAATAATATAAAAGCAATCGGTATAATACTTTTTTGTATACATTTTAATTCCTTTGTTTAACAGTTTTTTTCAGATTATTAGACAGATTTATGTCCGTATTAGACATACCTGTCAACCCTCCCGTTTTTCCCGGGATTCTCCTGTATTTTACCATTCTATCCCGCTATCATCCCGTCTAAATATTTTCCCGTATTTTCAATCTATATATAAAAAATCCCACTGGGCGTATTTTATGTTTGCTACATTCACCTCCGTTAAAACTCCCGTATTTTGTCTGGCCCAAACAAAGAACTTATACTGACTTCTATACTGGGCTTCTATCTTTGGCCCAAACCTCATTATATGAATAATCACGTCAACATATTCCAAGGTTGCCCAGTTGCCAGACCTTGTATGAAACGCATCCTTCTCACACAATCGACACATACAATTTTCAACCCATTTGTCCCCTCAACTTGGCAACCTACAACCCAGTGATGCTATTGATATGTGCGCAGGGAGTACCGCGGGAAGGAAACAAGGATCACTGGTAGAAAGGGGAGGAGAAGACTCAGTTGGTGCTCCAGTAAAAAACAAACAAAATATACATGTAAATTGAGATATAGCATGCACTTCAAAAGGCTATGGTTTAATTGATTAAATATGAGCACTGCAAGTTCCAAAGTCAGGTGCTGCGCTGCTTTGTTTACTGCGGTTATGGGGGAAACGGCTATATTCCTGGCGAAAAGCGCCACCTGCTGGCAGAGAATGAATTTGCATTTTTCAATAAGCCCTTCTGCTCTTTGTTT